GTGTATGGAAATGTACCTTTCTACATGTGACGATGTGAGACAGCGAATCTGGAAAGCATGACCCACCATCTCCGTCGGCGTTGGAGATCGGATGCAAAGGGATGAAGTACTGTTTCGACACAGTACTTCAACCTGGATCAATCGCTCCAGGTTTCATGGAAGGATATGGTCCTTTACAATACATTCATCGGCAGCACCCCTGCAGGAGATTCGGTAACGCCCACCCCTTTATGTTCACAGACGTTAGCCCCAAAGTGTGCCTTGTTCTGGTCACAGATGCAGCTCGGAAACACGTTACACATCCGAACGCCTTTGGATCCGCTGACTGGTTTAGCCACTTCATCCATCCGCGAGTCCAAGGCCTGTAGGTCACCAAGGCGGCATTGATGGTGTGGGCGAGATCAGTAGTCAGGCGCTTAGGCGCAAATGCAACACTACCAAAACCGGAAAACAGGGTAGAGACTCTCAAAGCACCAGACGATTCAGCTGACTTTGACAAGGACATGACAACTTTAATCGGATCGTCCAAGAGCCCAGTGCTGATGTTTTAGTGGACTGACGGAGCTGCAAACAGCATGAACGTCAAAATCATGTAATCCCTTTTAGATAGTCTAGTCAATAGTCTAATTGAACACAGTGGAAAATAACATACAGCCTTGTGGAACGATCGCTCGAATACCGACTGAGTGAGGGAGGTTGCTTTGGACCAGGAATTATTTGCTGCTAAAACTATGGTAGGCTCTGACTATGGCGATGAATTTGCCGGCACGCCAACTAGTCCCCTCATCCGTCATAGGGAATGGAGATTTACGAAATCGGACGTTTCCTGAAACAAAGTAGGCAGCCGTGGGTTGCTGCCAGTCACTGCGGAATTTAAAAAAGTGTCACAACGTGACTATTTGTCCTTGCATCCATTCTCTGCGCGAGTCGCGCACACCTTACAATCGCATCAGAATTACAAAAACGAACGCTTCCTCATCATGGCCGACTCAGCTCATGCTGCGGTGGCATTCACAAGTCGTCAAATCATTTATTGGAGCAAGGACGCCAGAGTGACTCTACATGATTTTATTGACAAAACCGTCCTTTCCAAAAACTTTCTCATTGTGAAGCTTCTGTTTCACATAGAAGACATCTTCCTAAGATTGGTTCAAACATGAAACTTCCTAGGCTGAGGAGAGATAGAACTCTGCCATACATCAGTTTGGACGTCATAAGTGCTCATTCCAGCGTTCGCCTCTGGTTGGTTTGTCAACAATGAAGCAGTCTTTCACATCGTTCACAAGATGGCCCAGTGCAGAGTGCCCAGCAAGAACTTGACGCATGGTTTGGTAGTTCACGCGTTGCCGACGTTTGAGAACTTAGCCATTTAAGCCTACTGTTTCTGCGGCCATTTCCTGTCGAGTTTGCCGTTTTTAAACGGAGGCAACAGAAGCAATTTCTGGTATGGGACCAAGGATTGCGAAAGTATGCTCTTATTCGTGCACGCAAAGTGTGGCAAAGATGATTCTGTCCATGCATGTGACGACAATGAGGGGGGGGGTGGAATTCAGTAATCTTAGGTAGGAGAGTATATTCTAAAGCGCATCATTACAATATGAGGCCCATTTGTTTTCAGGAATGCAAGACCTGGGTCAAACGATCTATCCGTGTGACGATGACGACCCTTATCTACCATTTCTGGGAAAACGGTTAGAGAGTAACCTGACAGTGCAATCGTTAGCGAAGCAAGAGTGGCGGACGTCTCTTTTTCGACACTGTTGCTCAAATCAGTGTTATTCCTCCAACAGCAACTGACCGTCGTTGTCTTAATCCTTACCTTCTCCTTCAGACAGTCAACATCTCGCCAATTTCTAGCTTCGGTATCCGCCCACTCTCACTGAACATTGGCCTACGTCGTCTATTCCCTTGGGTCTTTGTCGTTGCGTTCGTCATGGTAGGTGTCCATCAGAGCACAAACTGTAGCAGAACAGCTTAGTACAAAATCTTCAAAACATGACGCCGTCGAGGAGGTGCATGCTTCCCTGCATGTTCCCTTCTGAGGTGTCGTTGAGAGCGCAATCGTTAGCGAAGTAAAGTTGGTGGACGGTAGTTATGGATACACGCGACTGGAAGTGCATCAGCAGCTGATTGATGATTTGGCCGTCTGTTTTCTAGGTGATGCGCATCCGGGGGCGTTCGTCATCAATGGCGTCCATCAGCATGGAAATAACCAAGAGACTAAAGAGGATAGACGCCAAGACGCAGCTCTGCATCACTCAGTTGGTCACTGGGAATGCCTCTGTGATGTTTCAGTTGTCCGTAACGCACGCCGTAATGCCATCGTGGAGTTGATACAACAGCATAGGGTATCGCTCGGGACAGCGGAATGCTTACATAATTTTTCACAGTCCTTCACGATTCACCATGTGGAAGGCTTTCGTCAGACCCGCGAAGGTTGAGAGAAGATAGATCCCCATCTCCGGACACCTCGCCTGTAGTTGGCGAGGGACGAAAATCATGTAGTTTCTGCCTCGATGACGGTGGAAGCCGAGGGATTTCCGGCATGTGTCCTTTTTCCAGATGGTTGTTGAGGTCGTTGATGAGGCTGCGAGAGAGGATATTTCTAGCACTGTTGGTGAGGCGGTGCCTCTATGGGAGTCACAGGGTTGGTGGTTTCGTAGCAGCCAAGCGATGATATGGAATGCTCGGTGCGCTACTACTTCAGGCCATATTCCAAGTTGTTAGAAGTGGCACGTCCATTGGGAAGAAGATTTTATTCAGAGAACAGAATACTGAAGGAGGGTTGGCAGCCGGACGAGGGTGCGTCCGGCACCGCGGAAAGCGTCTTCCACCAGAGCGACGAGCCGTGTGTCGCCGCTGCAAAAGTGTAAGTGTCATGGCAGATTGTGCACGACAATGATGACCTTTCGACGTTCACGTTTTGGATTTCATTCTTCTGGCTGATATTTGCCTCTTGCACCCAGTCCTCTATCCCCAGTGCCATCTCTCAGAATGCTTTCTTCAGACCCCAAAGTAGTGATTTCCTCTTCTAACAAAGTTCAGTTTTGCCTTACAGACTTTTGGCAACACGCGCCATAAATTTACTATCTGCGTATTGAGGCCACCTTCCTCTCGGCCGCCATTACCCAAGAGATAGACAAGTATTATAAGTTGATTGAAACCCTTCCTCCCACCATCCTTTCTCAGGTCCAAACATTCCTTCTAGATCCCCCAGCTGATGCGCCCTATTGCAAACTTAAAGCTGAACTTCTTCGTCTAACCACCGTTTCCGATCGTCAACGTTATCATACGCTAGTGAAAGAATAGGCTTTGGGCGACCGCACACCTTCGAATCTACTGCGTTTCATGCGTTCTCTTCTCAGCAACATGGCAGTTGATGGAAATTTCTTCAAAGAGATGTTCCTAAAACGCCTGCCAACTTCGGTACAAAAAAATCTCGGCCTCCTGCTCTGCTGATCTAGACATCTCGAAACTCGCCGGAATGGCTGGTCGAGATTGAGCGTGTATCTTCCTGGACGATTGCTCAGGTTTCACAAGCTTTCCCAGTCTCCACCTCTGAATCGACCGAGCTCAAGACGCAAATAGCCCAATTATCGACAGCTGTTGCCACTCTGCAGTTGCGCCGCTCTCCTGGCCCTTCTCGCCGTACCTTCTCGCCGAAACCGTCATCTTTCCCGTTCTAAACCTAGGACTATCACCCTCTGCTGGCACAACGTGAATTTCGGCGCTAAGGCTCGGCGTTTTGTGTCACTCTGCTTTTTCAAGTCTCCGCAGGGAAACACCCCCCGGCCGGGGAGTAAATGCGACCGAGCTCTCTGACAACCCCACCGCTAGCACATTTTACGTCTGCGACAGCAAGAGTGGCAGACGTTTATAAGTCGACACTGGTGCTCAAATCAGTGTTATTTCTTCATCAGCAACTGACCGTTATTGTCGCAATCCTGACCTCCTCCTTCAGGCCGTCAACACCTCGCCAATTGCCAGCTTCGGTATCGGCTCACCCTCATTGGACATTGGCCTCCGTCGTCACTTCCCGTGGGTCTTTGTCGTTGCCAACGTGCCCTGTGTTATACTTGTTGCTGGCTTTCTTGCCGCCTTTGATCTTCTGGGCGACTGTCGTCAGTCACGTCTGCAAGACCAAACCACAAACCTGACCGTCCGAGGTATCCCTTCGTCTGAAGTGTCCCGCCGACTTGCCGTCCTGAACCCTGAACCTGCGAATCCATTTCGACAACTTCTCGCCAAATACCCCGGTTTCACTCGTCCAAACTTCAGCGCAACTGTCCCACCGCATAATGTTGTTCATCACATCCGAACTACTGGCCCTCCCGTGTTTTCTCGGCCACGCCGTCTCGCGCCTGCTCGTCATGCTGCCGCCAAGGTCCAGTTTGAGCACATGCCTCATGTGGGCATTGTTCGTCAATCTGAGAGCGCATCGTCCCTTCATATGGTTTCCAAGGCTGCTTCAGGTGACTGGCGCCCCTGCGGTGACTACATGGCCTTGAACAACGTAACTATCTCGGACCGCTATCCTGTCCCGCATCTTCAGGATTTTACCGTAGCCCTTTACGGCAAATCTGTGTTCTCGAAGATCGGCTTGATCCGTGCTTTCCACCAGATTCCCATCGCTCCGGCGAACATTCCAAAAACGGCCGTCACTACACTCCTTGGCCTCTTTGGACTCCGCAACGCCTCACAAACCTTCCAAAGATTCGTAGACGAAGAGTACTTCATGGCCTACCCTTTGTTTACGCCTATATCGACGACCTTTTGATTGCCAACTCCTATGCCAAAGAACACATGGAGCATCTTTCAACGCTGTTTAACCGCTTTCAAAAATTTGGCGTCGTTCTCAACCTGTCCAAGTGCATTGACTCCCCCGAGTTCCTCGGGCATATGGCTGACTCTAGGGGCATCTATCTGCTTCCCGCGAAGGTTGCGGCCATCCGTGACTTCCTTCTCCCTCTCCCAAACGTCAACTTCAGCGATTTCTGAGTATGGTAAGCTTTTACCGCCGGTTCCTCCCGCACTGTGACGACCTTACCCTGTCGCTGACGAACACTCTCTCCAGTCCCAAACATTCGTTCGAGCTGTCTGCTGACGCCCTCGCTGATTTTGGCAAGGTGAAGGCTGCCCTGGTCGACGTCACCCTTCTGATGCACTTTTCTCCCGATGCTCCCATCTCACTCCTGGTTTGTGCCTGCAATGCTGTTGTTGGCGTAGCTCACCAACAAAGTCTCCCAGATTCGACGGTGCCTTCGGCCTTCTTTTCCAGAAAACCCTCCAAGGCCGAAACCCGCTACAGCACTTTCGGGTGCGAACTTCCTGCCGTTTATCTTGCTGTGAAGTACTTCGAGTTCGCCATTTTCACGGACCACAAGTCACTTTCCTTCGCACTTCACTCAACTTCCAACAGGCTCAACCCCCGGGAAACCCGCCAACTTGACTACATCTCTCAGTTCACCTCTGCCACATTGACGGATCAGGCAATGAGGGTAGCTGACGCATTATCCAGATCCTCCATCGCTCACGTTCACCTATACCCCTTTAAGACAATCCGCGGAGCAACCGACCGGAAAGGAGGACAGCGTTAGTGGCACGAGAACTGGCGCGCTACAAGGTGGACATCGCCGCACTCAGCGAGACCCGTTTCTCCGAACAAGGCCAACTGGAGGAGGTGGGTGCCGGCTACACCTTCTTCTGGACCGGTCGCCCCAGGGCAGAGCGACGGAACGCGGGTGTCGCCTTCGCCATTCGGAACGACATCATGGGACGACTGCCCTGTTTGCCGCAGGGCATCAATGATCGTCTGATGAGCCTCCGCCTGCCTCTCCGGCGGGGGGGGCCAATTCGCCACCATCATCAGCGCCTACGCTCCGACCATGACCAACCCCGACGCCGTCAGAGACAAATTCTACGAGGACCTGCACGCCCTCTTGGCGACTGTGCCGATGGCGGACTAGTTGGTTGTCCTTGGCGACTTCAACGCCCGCGTCGGCACAGACCATACTGCCTGGAGAGGAGTGCTGGGTCCCCACGGTCTCCGCGGCTCAAACGACAATGGTCTGCTACTGCTCCGCACCTGCGCAGAACACCGCCTTATCCTGACAAACACGTTCTTCTGTCTGCCGGAGCGAGAGAAGGCCACTTTGAGGCATCCTCGGTCGCGTCAGTGGCACCTGCTGGACTATGTCCTCGTCCGAAGGCGTGACCAGCGGGACGTGCTGGTGACGAAGGCGATCACGGGTGCTGACGGGTGCACCGACCATCGTCTCGTCATCTCGAAGATGCGTATTCGCCTACAACCTCGCAGGAGACCTCAAGGTAAGCGACCCCCAGGTAAGCTGAATGTTGCCTTGTTGTCCTTGCCCGCTCACCATCTCCATTTCAGCAATGAGCTAGCTCAACGGCTAGACAACCTCCCCATCGCCGATGCCGCCGCTTCCGAAAACGCCTCCGTGGAGAACCGCTGGTGTCAACTGCGAGACACGGTCCAGGCGACGGCGCTCAC